GCTGTAGCTGCATCAATAATTCATGCAAGATAAAATGAAAATGTTTTCAAAACACAGCTGCTTGAAGATCTTTTGCTATTGATGGCATCGATAATGAAAGCTTCTCGCTTTTGCTAGATCCTCTGGCCACAAGCGCAATCTCGGAGCGAAAACACACAAGCACTTTTAAGAACAACGCTCTTTTTAGTGGTGAAAGCAATCAAAAGAAAATAAAAATAGAACTGTCATTATTGTGTTTCGCTAATATTATTCGAACCGCTCAACCTCAAAAAGAACTAATATCACCCCATGGCCACGCTCACCTAGGTAAATTTATCTACTGCCAAAAATAACGCCGACTTCGACGACAGATTTCTTTTGTCGAAGTACTGGTGTGATGAAAAAAAAATTATGACTTTTGCGCCTTGAAGGCGTCGTTTTGTTTTGTTTCCCAATGGACTGTGAAAATGCTTAGCTACCATAAACACAAGAGAGTAATCGAAGTTCGTCGTACAAACACACGCCTTCTATAGGTTTATTTACTATTGCTTTTCACAACTGAACAAAGAAATTGCAAAATGGAGTTGCGTTAGCGACCCAATACATTCGGCTATGCATGCAAATTGAAGTCCTTTTCATGTCAAGGACTATTAATTTTGTCGCTTTTTCCCACCGGCAATTTACATTTTACGAAAGAGACATTTTAATCGGTGGCCAAATTTTCAATGCTGTCAAACCGGTCACTTCATACATGATTCATTTTTTATTGGTTATGTGCTCTCCGTTATCGTGTAGCAGGCTTGGGGCGGAACTGCGCCAAAACTAAAATCCTCAGTCTTGTTAAAACCACTCAAACCTTGTCTTCTTACTCGTAATCTGGGGGATTAATCGATTAAAGAAAAAAAGTCTCTTGAAATAGATCGATGCTGCGTAAGAATATGCGAAATTGACACAGGAACCATTAACGCGGAGATCTTAAAAGTTGTAGGGAGATCGTTTTCATTTTCAATTTTATTTATTCACGCAAAACAGACAAGCTTTTCAATTGCCTCTGCCAGACCCAAGACACGAGGTCAAAGTGTCCAAAATAAATAACAATTTACGTTTCTTTAAAACTTAAATCAATAAATGGTGTTCTTGAATAATATGAAAGCTGCTGTGTAAATGAAAATCGCACACAGTTGTTCACTGTTTATCGAGATTGGCCAAGAAATCTGGGAAGCGATCTTATTTGAAAAACGATCTTTGGCGTGTAGATTTTCACCTTCAAAAATTGGAGAATTCATTTACGCCAGACCTCACTTAAAGTTTTTTCATAATCCTAGTTTCGAAATCAACAACAAAATACAGTTCGCTTGTACCGGTGTAACAATATTTTGTTAAAATCACTTGCTAGAAATCGCATCTCAAATTCAAATTTCTCAATGCACCGTACAAAGGATTTTTATTCTTAAATGGCATGAATTTTCACGTTCGTAGAAATCTGAGTAAGACAAAGGATTACTTAATCCGAGTCGCGCAAAATTTTCTTTAGGTTTGAAAAAAGCCAAATATTTTTCTTACTGATAGTTCTATTTATTACTTCAATTGAAACTTACGTGCGAATCGTGCGTTTATCGTATGGATCGACACAAAAAGACTCCAGAGATTTATATTCGTTAGTAACATTTAGAAACAGCGAAAGATCATTTTAGCATTCTCATTTGCAAATAAAAATATAAAAGTCCTAGCTAAAGCCAAGAACGTATTGTGCAACGGGAAAATCACAAGCCTACTCGAAAAGCAAACTTTAGGACAATGCGTTTTCGGCTGGAAATTTTGTAATATCTTGTTTGCTTTCACATATAATTAAATGAATCCTAAATAGGAGCATTGGATATGCGCATAAGCCATGCGTATTTGCAAAGAAAAACAAATTCATCCTCAAAGAGCGGCCTTAAATTAAAGGCAAAGAAAAGGAATTAAGCGCAAATCACTTTGCAAAGAGTTTTTAATGCAAATAGCTCAAGCACCGTGCCACAACTAAATGTTTTAAATATTGTAATCTTATCGGTTAAAATCAAGAACCAAAACCTTTTTTTATGAGTTTTTGCGGTTCTTTCAGTGGTACAAACATAGCCGTCGAGTAATTATTGAGTAAAGATTAACGAATTATAAAAGCACTGGCATATTACATTCATAATGTTGCGGTTTGGCGGGATTCGGTGTTCACGCAAAACCAATATACTGAATGACGCGCAAGCTATCTCTGATAAAGAGAGATTACTGACATGAAAATTAAAAAGCTTCCTTTTGCAACAATATGAAAGGATAAAATCTAAATTAAAGCGGAGACTTCAAGCCTTGAAAGTACAAGTTGACTCTGGAGGAGAAGCTAAATTCGAGGCGGGATTAGTGAGACGTGCTAAAACTAAAAACACGGCAACGCAATTGTAGCCCACTTGACTTGGCAAGATTTTTGTGGTTTGCGACTTCTGTTTGTGAGTTCCCCGCAACAAGAATTGCGCTGGAAGTTTTTCATTAGTGCTATCTCAAAATAACCCGATTTACATCTACTTTAGACAAGCCATGGCCTTTGCGACTCGGCAGCGATTTTCATCCGCGTGTTTGGTTTTCTTCATGTAATCCAGGATCATTTCAGCTGCTTCTTTGTGGTCTTGAGGTTAAATTTAAAAATTCCAATGATAAAAGTTACAAATGGTAATAAATGCCAAAATGACCGCAAGTTTCCAGAACAACAAGGATTAATTGGCAAGTAACAATAGTGAAAAAATTATGTTAGAAGAAATTGACAGAAATAGAATAGAAACAGAATTAGGTAAATATATAGAATAGCGAAGAGGCTCTTAATTTATACTGAGCAGAGATATTTTTGGACAACAACTTGAATATATATATCGGCATGAGAATTTATGATGGGAGAGCCACACCCCTAGACTTAGCAAATTTCGTCATTAGTATCATATTTCAAGACTCTTACAAAAAACTTGACTATATCGTTCATAAATAAACTGCCTGCATCACGTTCTGGAAGCTTTTCTATGTCCGTGTGGTGCAATTTCT